TAGTAATCAGTACGCCCACTGCTGGCCTTCGGTGTGTCCTGAAGACTTCCGCGACCACCAGCAGCAGCGGCTCAGCCAAAAGACAGCCGCTCAGTGTGCAGTTCAACCGCTTCTCCGAACAGAAGGGCCTGAACTCGAGGAAGCGAGTGTCCATTCCCACGAAGCTCTTTGATGGGGAGAAGCCCGCTGACGAACAGCTGGACGACAAGGACGAGGACGCCGTGGACGAGAACGACGTTCCTGAGGACGATCTGCTGCAGTCTCCGCTGGCTGCTGCCAAGCCGGAGAAGACCACCTACTCAAAGTTGACGCCCGTTTCGACGTTGTCGCGCCGACTTACTCTGTCATCATCGGCGGCTAAAAGGCGAAAGATTGGTCACCAGACTGAGCCTCAGCCACAGCCATCACCATCACCACCACCACCACCAGAGACTGCTTCTAAAGTCGCCGAAAGTGCTGAAAGTGCTGATGATTACATGTTGAATGTTGACAACCACGACGGCGATGACGACATCTGTGACACGCCCATCGTTCAGGCTGGTCGTAAGCGAGCTCGCGGAAGGAGGTTGGCCAAGTTTCTGGACGATGATGATGAGGAAGAGGAGGAGGAAGAAGAGGCCGAGGAAAAGGAGGACGAGGTGGGGGAGTGTTTGGCTACGGAGAAGAAGAAGAAGAAGAAGAGGGCCAAAGTGGAGGAGAAGTTGGTTGAGAAGGAGGACAAGGAGGAGGAAAAGACTGCTACCACTCCCACAACCACCACAACCACCAGCAGCAAATCTGCGAAAAAGTCCGCGAAAAAGCCCGTGCCTACTACTACCACGACTCGTCGCCGAGGAAGGCCGCCGAAGGAGGAGGCAAAGGAGGCGAAGAAGGAAGATGAAAAGGAGGAGGTTGAAAAGAAGGAGGAAAATGAGAAGAAGGAAGTTGTAAAGAAAGAGGATGAAAAGAAGAAGGAGAATAAGAAGAAGAAGAACGAGAAGAAGAAGGAGGTCACGGAAGAGGTCAAAGAGGAGGTCAAAGAGGAGAAGGAGGAAGAGAAGCCCAAGCCCCGGCGAGGTGGTCGCCGGAAGGTGGTTCGCGATGAACTCGAAGGCATTGCCGGCTTTGGTGAAACTCGTAAGTGTGCGAATTGTTTTAAATTAACTGTTTCTTATGATGTTTTCTGCTTTCTCTTTCAGCCACCAAAGGCCGACGCAAGGAGGTCTCGAAGATGCTCGAAC